GCAACTGAAGTTTAGCCAAGTTAACTGCCTACAAGAAATCAATTAATTAATTAATGCAAGGTCAAGGGTTCAGATCCCTGTACCAGCCAGCTGACAAAAAAAATAAAAATAAATAATACACGCACACACACCTCCTCTTCAGAGAAACATAACAGAATCTAGAATCTCTACAACTTATCACTTACAGTGTTCAGGATATAATCCAAAATTACTCAGCATGAAAACAAACAGGAAAATAAGTGACCCATATTTAAGAGAAAACATAATCAATGAAGACCAACTCCAAGATGACCCAGATCTTGTAATTAAAGTAGGTATTTTAACTGCTCAGGGATATAAAAGAAAAAATGCTCATAATCAATGAGAAGTTAGGAAATCTCAGCAGAGCAATACAATTATAAAAAAGAAATTCTAGAACTGAAAAATACAACATCAGAAATGAAAATTTCATTAGATAAGGTTAACAGCAGATTAATGATGGAGGAAGAGTCATAAACTTGACAACAGATTAACAGAAATTATCCAGTCTATAGGACACGAAGGAAAAAGATTGAAAAAGAAAATGAACTGAGCTTCGGAGGCTGTAGGAAAATATACCAAGGTTTTCCAGAAGGTGAGGAGAGAGAGAATGGAGTAGAAAGAATACCTGAAGAAATAATGGCAGAAAGATTCCCAAATTTGGTAAAAGATACTAATTTCCATATTTAAGAAGATTAACAAACCCTAGCACGATAAATATAAAGAAAACCACTCCTAGGCACATCACAGTGAAACTACTGAAAACCAAAAGTAAAGAAAAAACTCTTGAACGAAACTAGGGGAAAACAGCCCATTACATACAGGTGAACAATGATTAAATGACAGTTGACTTCTCATTAGAAACTATAAAGTCCAAAAGACAGTGGCTGAAGAAAACAATATTCAACCCAGTGAAAATATCATTCAAGAAGCATGGTGAAATAAAAACATTTCTATGTAAAAGAAAATCAAGAAAATTTGTTGCCAGTAGACTTGTAGTTAAGAGGTGTTAAAGAAATTCTTCAGGATGAAGAGAAGATATGTCAGAAACAAACAAATCTCCAGGAAGGAATGAAGAGCACCCAGCATGGTAAATACGTAGGTAAATATGAAAGACTATTTTTTCCTCTTAATTTCTTTAAAGTACATATGACTCTTTAAAACAAAAATTATAAAATTATATTGTGGGATTCATAACCCATGTAGATATAATACTTACGACATTTATAAAGGACAGGAGAAGGGGAGAAATAGGCCTATATGGTTATATATTTTATGTGAAGTGGTAAAATTATTAACTCCAAGTAAACTGTAAAAATTAAAGGTATTGCATCACTAGAGCAACCACTAAAAAATAATGCAAGGAGGTGTAGCTAAAAAGGAAATAGCTAAATTAAAATGGAATTCTAAAATTTAACTCAAAAGAGGGCAGGAAAGAAGAAACAAAAAACAGAGTGGACAAACAGAAAACAATATAATAAAATGATAGTTCTAAATCCAACCAAAAGCCTTCTGACAAGCCCATGTGGCTCTGCCTGGTCCAGCCCCAGCCTCGCCTCCAACCATTCTCCACCCCATTGCTTTCTTCCCCAACTCAAGTCATCCGGAGCCTTTTCTTTAGTGCCTCTCTGTCCTCAGGGCCTCTGCATTCCTTTAATCCTCCCTTGCCCTGACTTTTGTCTGGTCAACTCCTTTTCTTCCTTAAGGTCCTGATCCAAACATCACTTCTAAGAAGTTTCCCTTGATTACCTGCCAGACGAAGAGGCTGAGATGCATCTGGTGTGCTCACCTTGCTTCCTGCCCTTCTCAGTATAACTACTAACTCTTGTCTGTTTCATCTTCTAGATTATAGCCCTGAAAGGCAGGGCCAACTTCTTTCTTTGGCTGCTCTAACCCCAGGGCTCAATTAATATACACATAATAAAAAAATGAATAAACTCTGGGTTGAAGTTCTGGAACTCATCTCTTGGGTTCTGAAATTGATATAATCTGTAATAACTGGTTTTCTGAATGGGCTGAACTGAGTAGGATACAATCGGGAAGCAACTTTTCTCCTGCTGCCTTCAAGCACATTCTGTTGGTTGGTTCTCCCTTCCCTTCTCCGCAGGAGGCATCTCAGGCAGATTCCATAGTTTTTCAGTCACTTTAATTGTGTAGTGCTATTGAACTTAAAACCTCAATCTTTCGTCCAATTCCTATTTCTCCCCTTCTCCACATTTCAGGACACAGCAATGATCTAACTCTCCCTTTGCTTGCTCCGCCATTCTTCCTCTAATCTCAAGGCTGTTTCTGGTAAATCCAGAGCTGAGAAGTGAGGAGAACAAATGAAACAAAAAGAGCAATGGCCTTTATACTCAGCTGATGCTCTTTGTAGCAATGGCTTTATCTTAATCCCGGCACTTCTGTAGGAGCTGTTACTGGGTCCTTCAGGTATCACTGCACTGCACAGTGCCCTTAATGCAGGTCAGTGCCCTCTCCTCCTGCCTTCTTGCTATTCTTCAGCTCCCGTCCTCCAAGGCTACACCTCTAGCCTCTCCATTGGGATCCTTCCTTCCTTCGTAAGTAGGATCCCTTTAGGTGGCTCAACTATCCTCTGTGGAGTCTACTTGCTCCAGCAGCCTGGTACAAGTGTAGCTAACCCAACAGCTAATCTCCCATGCTCATCCAGCCATCAAGGACTGCTCCAAGTAGAAGGCAAATGGCAGTCCTCCTGACCTCCTAACTTCAGGTAACATTCCAGGTTCTCCACATGCCACCTTGGTGACAGCCAGCATAGGCTGACATATTTCAACTGTTCAGCAGGCTGGGACACAGCCTTCCATCTCTCCTGCTTCCAAGTACCACAATTCTGTCTATGAAGTTCGCCTGAAGGGCCTCTTACTTGGCTTGAAGCCTGAGAAGGAGGGGAAAGGCCATAGCATTCTAATCATATGAATACCTTTTTAAAGAATCCTTTCTACTGACACCTTCAACTCCATCCTACCACCTTCTTTAGACAGGCCTAAGGTGGCTGATGAGGGTTTAAGGTCCAAGGACCATTCTGGCCATCTCCTAAGAAGCCCTGCATTAGACTGTGGGGGAATTCAACACTCTTTGTTCTCCACTCTAAGGCTTTAAACAAAATTTCCAGACACAGACAAAGTCTGGTTCCATATCCAGTTACATCTGTTAACCCCATCCCCTACTCTAGCTAAATATCAAGAATTTGAAGATGCATAATGTTCTTGCAATGTATAGGAGATAATAAATGCTGTAAGACTCTGCTTCTCACGCTGGAGGGTGTGAATAGACAGAAACTGCAATTTATACCATCTGCATCTTGAATATCAATTTTAATGTTAAAACACACATGGATATTTCATGGGGTAAAATGTAAAATTTTGAGGGGGGCAGGGAACAGGATTTTTCAAATAAATTATTGAACTCACTGTAAGCTATTTGATCTACAGAACCTAGGAGTGGTACATGGAAAAGTTTGAGAACTTTTTGAGGGAACTATTCTGTGGGAGAGTTGGATCATAAAAAAACTGGAGTTACCCCTCCAGAAGTCTCAAGGAATGCTGTTCAGATGGAGAAACACTGGAGAGAAACTAAGTCACCCTAACTATTCCACAAACCAGCAGGAAGAAGCTTAATAAGCCTTCCTTCAAAACTAAGAAGGGAAGGGGAGAATCAGCAGGACTTCTGCTCACTCTGGAAATAGCAGGTCTGGATCTCTAGATTAGGGGCTAAATACCAAGAGAGATTTTGTTTGTCTGTGGGTTTCTTCTGGTTTGTTCTTTTGAAGATTACCTGAGTTATGTTTGCCATTTCCATCTACCTTGTAGAATGAGCTACTTGTAAAACCCTGGAAACAAAAGCACCAAGTAGAAGTAAGGAGTAAGGAAGGGGAGAGCTTCCTTATTGGAAGCTCAGTGAAAGCTGGCCTCCTCAGTCAAACACAGGCCTCAGAAGTCTCAATGGATGGAGAAGATTTGAAGAAGAAAGGGAAATCAGGCAGAATCAAAGGTGGGTGGACTAAGAGAAACCTTAGGAACTTATCAGTTAGAAGACCTTGTGGTTCTCCAGCACAAAGCACAACAAAACATCTTCCAATCCAGGGATTTAAGACGTTTACTGAACAATGTGACTGCAGTGGCAAAGAACGTCTCATCTCTAAATTTTAACTTTTGGATTTCCCCAAGAAGTCATAGTTTTATAATGTCCTGGGTTTCTTCCAAATGCTATTTAGAAATGTGGACCAAGTTGCATCTGCCATCTAAACACAGTGCTTACCTTTCTTAAGAATTGTCTTCACTTTCACATAGTTTGCTTGTTTGACATACTCATGAAGCTGAGCTTCCAAGGAGTCATTTCTTAATGTACCAAGTGGAACAGAACAAGGAACTAGAAGATGGACAGCCCAAGCCATCCTGTTTCAAAAGAGAGCAACATGTTTATTCTAACTGAATCAGAAATGCAAGGACACAACTTAAGATTCTTTTTTTTTTTTTTCCTGGTACACCGTGCATTTTATTTGGACAAAAAGTAAAAGTGGTACAGGTTCTCTGTATTTCGCCTACAATCCACACGCTGAGATACTGACCTCTGACTCTTAGGTGATCCAGAGGGTTTTTCTTTTAATTATGATAAAAAACATATGAACCATGATAGATAGCTTAGGAAAAGGTTTAGTCAAATATACAGATACTAATTGTTCACTCAGTCATTAAGGAGAGATGTGAACAAAGGATCATTTAAATGATTTTTCAAATAGAAAACCTAAAGAACTGAACTATCACAGGAATTTTCTAAACTGCAGAAGCTGAGATGTTCTAGTAGGAGATATCCTCACTTGATTGGAAAATAAACACCACAGCTGAAGGCTCTGCCGAATATGTAAAAAATCCGATGAGATTCATCCCTGTCGTTTTCCCTGTCATTTTTCCAGCATTGCTGTAAAATCTTTATAATACATTCCAAAGTAAACCAGCCATTCCACATCTACAGTCACTCTGCTCTTTAATTCAATTCACAGAACTGCTGAAAAAGTAGACATTTCTATCTAAAAGTAGAAAAAAAGGTTTGTATAGAAGGTATTTCTGTTATACAAGTATATTACACAGCTTGGGGCGGTAACAGGTCCAAAAAGCTCTTCTCAACCACTGATACTTTAAGCCTGGGAGGGAGCAGGTCTACCACGTGGGGTCTGGTTCTTGCTTGATCTGAGAGCTTCCATCAGTCTCTTTTATTTCTTCTGTCACTGGAACCTCCAACTGGCTTGGCTCAGCTGATTCTTATATCACTGGGCCTTCTGACTCATTCTGATCAACCAATTGGTTATTAATCACAAGTCCTGGAAATGGTCTAATGACTGTGAATTTGATAAACTCAGCAGAATCTAAGATCCTTCTCATGGAGCTAATTTCCAGGTAACTAGGGGCTTTGAATGATATCCCAGGGGGCATGCCATCAACCACCACACAGCCAGGGTTGATTGTGATTTTCCTGTAGGGAACTTTCACGGGAAAACCCATCCCAATAGCTTCACCAAATTTTCGACTGAAGAGGTCATTCACTTGTTCTCTTACCTGTCTAGCTTTTTCAACTTTTGACAGTCTGTCTTTATCATCATCTGGAATTGTCACCTGAATGATGTTAAGATCTTCAACACCTGATGCAGTAGTATTAACACTGGGTGATGAATTTATTTTTCTTGGAGGGCTCTTAGAGGAGGTGCTTTCCTTAATTGCCGTCTCAAACATTTCAGGCTTTTTAATAATGAACTTAATTTTGGCCTTGTTTCTGAGTATCTTCTCCAGCCTCGGAATGCCGAAAGTGGATGGTCTTCGGAATGGCACACCCTCAGGTAGGCCTTCCACATAAAAATCTTCTGGGAAAGATTCAAATAATGCAAATGGCACTTTCACAGCCTGTTTAAGGCCAAGAGCTTCGCCGCATTTTTCATTGAAAAGATTTTCAACTTTCTGTTTTACGTCCGTGATTTTGGCATTCCAGGCCTCAAAGGAAAATTCTCTCCCTCGAGGCTTGAAGGGAACATTAGAACCATTAGTCTGGGTAGGGGTTCGAACGGTTGAGGTTTGAGGACTGTTGTTATTAGGACCTTCGACAGTGACCTCAATTTCAGGAACCTTTGAATTACTCCCAGGGCTTCGTGGTCTTTTTGGAGACTGCAATGCTTTAGTGTTTATTTTACTAGCCATTCCAGGAGGCAAGTAGGAAACAACTAGTTCAGGTTTTTTAACAACAAACTTGATTTTATTACTCCCACGGACAATCCTTTCAAGTTGCGGAATTCCAAACCAGGTAGGGCTTCGAAAGGGAATTCCTTCTGGCAAGCCTTCTACATAAAGGAACTCGGGATTTGATTCGAACACAGGATATGGTACTTTTACTGCCTCAATAAGTCCAAGAGCTTGAGCAAATTTCAAATTAAAAATCTCTTCCACTTGCTTCTGTAGCTTGGTAATTCTGACATTCCAAACTTCTTTGACTGGTGTATTTGTTCTCGGCTGAGTAACTTCAGTTGTACTGTGAGTCAGAAGTTCTGGTCTTTAATAACAAATTTGATTCGATTGCCGACTTGAATGATTTTTTCCAGCCTTGGTATTCCGTACCATGAGGGACTTCTAAAAGGAATGTTTTCTGGTAGTCCTTCAACATAGAGATCATTAGGATGTGCCTCAAATTTCTGGTACGGTACAGCCTTGGCTTCAGTGCTCCCCAAGGCTTCAACAAATTTTTTGCAGAAAAGCTGATCTACCATTTTTCTTAATTTAGTAATTCTGGCATACCACTCTTCTTTACTCCTGAAGCTGGTTTATCAAGCTGTAAATCTTCACGTATTGAATTCAGAAGTTCATGTTTCTTAATCACAAAATGAATCCTTTCCTTGGCAAGTAATATCCTCTCAAGGCGAGGAATTCCATAAGTAGACGGTCTTCTAAAAGGAATTCCTTCAGGAAGTCCTTCTACATAAAGATCCTCAACATGAGACTGGAAAAGTGGATATGGGATCGTCACTGGGCCTTTGGCTTTTATAGCTTGAGCATATTTTCTTCCAAACAACTCTTCCACTTGTTTACGTAGATCAGTAATTCGAGCATTCCATTTCTCAAGGTTGAACTCCCTCACTTTTCGTTTTCCAGCATTGGCAGGTTCTGTAACTGGTGGCTGCGGTGGCTCACTGCTCTTTGGTCTCTTGGTAGGTGGAGAATAATCATCATCTTCAATAGTCACCTCAACGTCAGGGTCCTCACTTGTTTCTGAAGGGACATGTTGAGTAGAATCTTCTGCTGGTACTTCCATTTCTGTTCCTTCATTGCCCTCTGAAGAATGATGGCTTCCTTGAATATTATATTGATAGTAATCAGGATCTTCTGATTCTTCCTTTACTGTCACAGCTGCCATTTCCAGGGAAATGCCAGAATCCTCTGTGGGTTCAGTTTTCACTTTGATGGGGCCACAACTTCCGCCTTGGGATAGTATTGACCTTTCAGCATCTGTTACCATCACACAACCACCAAGGTGCTTCTTTGGCTCTAGGAAAGATCTCTTAATGATAAATGAAATCCCTGCTTTGTTCTCCAAAATCCATTTCAGGGTTACAAGATCATAATTCTCAGGGTGTTTAAAGGTAACTCCTTCTGGAAGCCCCTGCACTACCACAGCCCCCTGGTCTCGTAGCATCTTCTCATATGGAATGGGTACCACTGTGGATTTGCCTAAAGCTTTCCCATAGCAAAAGCAGAAACAGTCCTCAACTGTTTTTCTGAGTGTTTAAATTTCTACAGCATCTACACTCCTCCGATTCGCCGGGATTGTAGATTTCATTTTATGCATCTCTGCAGCCTTTTCTTCTTCTTCAACACAGTATTTTACGAAATCTTTTTGAAAATCCTTTCTGGTATTGACAAAAGCACGTCCTCTTTCGGTTCCAACAACAAACACATCTGTTTCATATACTGCAATGCAGGCCACTTCTGCCTTGGACTTGGCCAGTTCTTTACACATGGACTCAAGAGCAGACATGAGGAATGTCACCACCATCCTGCTCTCTGAGGACTCATCTTCAACAGGCAGCGTGGACACTGCTACTTGAGCCATGATCCCCAAGTGCAGCCGCCTCCAGGCAGCGCCAGGACCGGGGTGCTGAAAGGAGGCAAGTGTGGGCCGCGCGCGCGCTGCGGCCGCTGCGGAACAGCCTCGGCGGAGGCAAGTTGGAGAGCGGGCAAGAGGTAAGAGGGCGAGGGGCCCTTACGTCTCAGCCGCGCTCCTGTCACCGCCGCGTGGCTGCCCAGGCAGGGCCTCGCTCAGCGCTTTGATCCCATCACCGGGTACAGAGGGAGAGGCCGGGGTAACCGCGACAGGCGGGAGGCCACGGCTGGAGAGCGCGTGCAGGGAAGCGGGGGGGTGGGGGGGGACGGGACCGGTGGCCCCTTTTCTCTGTTCTCCGAGCTTCTCTCTCAGATTCTTTCACATTTGGAAATCTGCCCACCTTCACTAATAATGAAGAAGATTAGGGGAACAATTACTAAAATTCTATGAGATTCATGTCTATCCTCAACATTATTATTGAAATCAAAGAACTGAATATATTTATCACCAATTCGCAGGACAGAAAATTGATGACTACTGGGAAGTAATATTAAAAAATAAAATAAAATAAATTGGGGCCAGCCTGGTGGCGCACTGGAGAGTGCGCGGCTTGGGAGCGCAGCGGCGCTCCCGCTGAGGGTTCGGATCCCAAGTGGAGACCGGTTCCCGCTCACTGGCTGAGCGCGGTGCGGAACACCGAGGGTTGCGATCCCATTGCCGGTCCCCGGTATGGGCGCGACACCGAGGGTTGCGATCCCGTTACCGGTCAGTAAAAAAGACAAAAAGGAAAAATAAAATAAAATTAAAAAATTAAGGGGCCGGCCCGGTGGCGCACTGCTACAGTGCGCCACTTGAGAGAGCGGTGACGCTCCCAACGAGGGTTTGGATCCCACATACAGACCGGTTCCCGCTCACTGGCTGAGCGAGGTGCGGGTGCAACACCGAGGGTTGCGATCCTATTGCCGGTCCCGGTCCGGTACGGGCGCGACACTGAAGGTTGTGATCCGTTGCCGGACACGAAAAAAGAAAAAAAAAAAAAAAAAAAATTAAAAAGGAAAAGACCAAAAAATATATTTTTTAATTTTTTAAAGAGAAAAAACTAAACTGAAAAAAATAACAAAAATAAAAATGAAAGATAATTAGGAGAGTATTAACTTTGAATGTTTAGAACACAAATGAAATAATTATGTGGGAGTGTAGAGAGTATGATAGGAATTGGGTTCATATGTCAGACTCTGAAGTTCTTGTCCTGGCCCTTTCACCTCTCAACTGTATGACCCTAGAGAAATTAATCAACATCAATAGGCCTCAATTTCTTCATCTGTAAAATGGAGATAATGATAACGAAGGGGTTGTTGAGAGATTTAAATGAGCTAATGTGTATAAAGTACTTGGTTAGAACATAGCCTTGTAAAAACCAAGGTCAAGGGTTCAGTTCCATATACCAGCCAATCATCAAAAAAAAAAAGTTAAAGTGCTTAGAACTGTGCCTGGCACCAAGCATGTTCTTTGTAGCTATTAGCTATTACTGTGCATGATAAGAGCCATGTAGAGAAATTTTAACTTTCCACATGTGGCAGCCACACCTGACCATCATTCATACAATCAAGTGTTTCTGGTAGGCCTACTGCTATAGTTTGTGTCCCTCAAAGTTCATGTGTTTGTAAACTTGATCCCCAGTGCAGAGGTGTTGGGAGGTAGGATCTTTAAGAAGTGTTTAATTCATGAGGGCACTGCCCTCATGAATAAATTAATGCCATTATAGACGGAGTTATTTCATTATCACAGGAGTGGTTTCTTATAAAAAGACGAGTTCAGACCTCTTTTTGCCTCTCTCTCTTTCTCTCTGAAATTATCGAGTTTCAGGCATTTTCTTTCTTTTTTTTTTTTTGACAGCTGGCCAATACGAGGATCTGAACCCTTGACCTTGGTGTTACAACACCATACTCTAACTAAACAGCTAACTGGCCAGCCCTCAGGCATTTTCTTATAGCAAAAAATGGACTAAGAAACTTACGATCTGTCTCGAATGTGACAGGTGCTGTGTAAGACACCTAAAAATTAGGTCATTGCCATCACAATGCTCATAGTCTAGCAGGGCACACAAGTAGCACCATGTTGGTGTTCCATAGACAGTGGGTAAGACAAGGAAGCTCCATCCACATGAATAAACAAGCACGCACATCAAGGGCATGACTAAGGGCTACATGGAGAAGCAAGAGGATGTGAAATGAGTGAGTTGAGGTAAGGTAAAAGAAAAAGCCAAGGAGGCTGACAAATTCAGTGAATCTTCACCAGCCAGGAAGGTTACGGATTATAGGTTACTGAGAAGTAAAACTTTCTTAATTTATCCATCAATTAAATGTGTAAAGTACTGTTAAGTTGCGTGCTTTAACTTTATTTCCTTGGGTAACTGTTACTGTCCGTGTCATTGACTACAAACAGCATCCTAGAAGACGATGGCATCACAATGGTCTTAAGCAAACAAAAGTGACCAGAAAATACTGTTTTAAACATATAGGAACTGAAGCTTTTATAGCAAGCTGTCATTCCCTCCCAACTCCTCCCCAGTCTGTCTTCCTTCTATTTCCAGGTATTAAAACAAGTGGCATATTTCCATTATAATGTAGATGGTTGTTGTGAGCTGAATTGTGTCTCTACCCCCAAAATTCAAATGTTGAAGCCTAACCCCCCAGTACCTTAGAATGTAACTGTATTCGGACATAAGGTCTTTAAAGAGGTGATTAAATTACAATGAGGCCCCTACAGTGGGGCCACAATGCAATGACAGGTGTCATGAGAGAAACACACTAGGGGCCAGGATCACTGTGAAGGGACAGCAAGACGATGGCTATCTGCAAGCCAAGGAGAGAGCCCTCAGAAGAACCCAATCCTGCCAATGCCTTGACCTTACTTGGATATCCGGTCTCCAGAACTGTAAGAAAATTAATTTCTATTGTTTAAACCACACAAACTGTGGTACTTTGTTATGACAGCCCTAGTAAATACACTAATAATAGCAAGTTATGTCATGTTATGCTTATGGCTTAGTTGGGAGGACTTCAGCATGAATTCTGTTCACCATTTACATACTAACACCCACTCCTGGGTATTTCAATTCTTAACTTCCTCTACAGATACCCTCAGTGATTCATCCCACAACTAAAAACTAAAGTAGCAAATTTATCTACATGTGGAAAAAACAGAACTAAGCATAGGGATCAGGTATTTGACCTTTCGCCCTGTATCATACAGTTCCCTCAAAAGTTGGATGGCTCCACATACAAAACACACAAGTGAGTAGGAAAAGCAAACCATCAGACAAACCAATCAAGAAATCCCACCTAATGCATCCTCCCCCCCCCCTCGGGCGGCTGGCATCGAACTTTCACTGAACTGACATGGCTAACCTATCCCGGAACAAACTCTTAGAATCTGAACAGGGATTAACTTCAATTATACTAGAAGCAAACCACCATAAGTTAACTTTCCAGACACATAACTAAGACCAGTAGGAAAATACCAAGAAAAACCTACTGAAAATAATGAATGTTGTTTTATAGCCTATAATTAAAAAACCCACTTCATCACGGGAAAGAACAAATGCAGTCCCCAACTACTACAAATCATGCAGTCGAATTTCCCATATTTCGAGAAATTGCAGAATTCAGTACATTCACAGTGCAATGAAGAAGCCTCACCCCGGGAAAAAAAACACCCTCCTGATCATGGTACCTCCCCCGCCAGGTAAATAAATATAAATCACCAACTTTGCTACCTTACCCTCATCCTCAACCCACTATAGAGTCATGGTCATTGCATTCTGAGTTCTTTATTTAGGTCTTCAGTTTGCAACTTCAAGGCTTGCTCAAATGACACACATCAGGCTAAATCTATTTGGATATTCACTAGAAACTCTACTGCACAAAGAACGCACTAGAACCGGCAACCACCGCGCTTCTATCTACATTATCTCTGCCTATATTAGCGACTTCACCCTCTGCTTCAAGGCTCTCTTCCCTACAGTTCCCTACTGGATGAGTTCGCTCTAGCTACCCCTCACGTTGATCCAAAAGACAACAGCAGGTCTGGCTGAAGAGATCTTTAAATTACTTGCCTTTTTGGGCATACACGAAGATTCTGGGGTGGATTTGCAGTGCAGAGCAGTTTGGGAGGCCATCGTGTTTGGGGGCAGGCGCTCAGAATCGGTCGTGCCAGGTCTGAATCGCTCCCTTTGGGACTTGCTCAGAAATATAATGAGGGTGAAATGTATACTCAGTATTTTTTTTTTCCTTTTTGTCTTTTTTTTTCGTGACCGGCAACGGATCGCAACCCTCAGTGTCGCGCCCGTACCAGACCGGGACCGGCAACGGGATTGTAACCCTCGGTGTTGCGCCTGCACCTCGCTCAGCCAGTGAGCGGCCGGTCTGTATGTGGGATCCAAACCCTCCGTGGGAGCGCCGCCGCGCTCCCAAGCGGCGCCCTGTAGCAGTGCGCCCCCGGGCCGGCCCTATACTCAGTATTTTTTTTTTCCTTTTTGTCTTTTTTTTTCGTGACCGGCAACGGATCGCAACCCTCAGTGTCGCGCCCGTACCAGACCGGGACCGGCAACGGGATTGTAACCCTCGGTGTTGCGCCTGCACCTCGCTCAGCCAGTGAGCGGCCGGTCTGTATGTGGGATCCAAACCCTCCGTGGGAGCGCCGCCGCGCTCCCAAGCGGCGCACTGTAGCAGTGCGCCACCGGGCCGGCCCTATACTCAGTATTTTTCAAAAGTTGGGTTTTGATATATATGTTCATAAAGCAGGGTGTGGCTGTCAAGTTGATAACACAACTGAGTCTACATGTCCACTGCCAGGAAAGCATGAATAACTATTGGCCACTCTGGACAGCCTGAGTTACAGGGAGCTAAACTCATTCTCTCCTGACAGGCAATGGCCCTGGCACTGCATTTCTCAGCCACAGGGCTCTGCAATAAAAACCACAGTAACTACACATTTGCTAGATATCT